ACGTGGGTGGCTCACGCTGGCTGTGGTAGAGAGGCGGCGGCGCGCTGGGCGTGCCCGGGAGGCTGGTCCTGCACACTCCTGCCCTGCTGACAACGGTCCCGCAGCACGTGTCCGCATCCCACGCGAGTCCCACCGCCTGGGGATCTTCAGTCGCCTCCGGACCAATTAGGGCGCCGCGCTCGGTCCTGTGGACTGGGGCTCTCAGTTTTTTTCTTCCGGGCAGAGCAGTAACCTGGGCGGCCTTTAGGTGAATACTGCCCCTCTTCCGACATACTTGGGTATTACAGCCTGGGTGCACCAGCGCGCCGTGGGTGCACTTCGGGGCGGGCTCCTGCGGCTCCTCCGCGCGCTCCTGCGACTTCTCCGCGGCTCCGCGCAGCCCGGCCGCCCTGAGTCGCGCGACGGTGGCCCGGTGGGAGGCCATGAGCGTGCCCCGCGTGCTGCAGGTCCTGACCTGCGCTGGCTTCGTTGCACTCTTCCTTTCCGACGCTGGAGAATGCGGTCCCTTGCCGGCGTCCGCGGAGGAGCGGGCGTCGCGGGCGTTTCCAGAGGACCGAGTGGATTTTGGTGAGTGGTGCGGCGTCTCCGAAGCCAGGCCGGGGTCTGGGCTCGGGCGCCTGCGGGTTATCGCCAGACCTCACCCTGCTTTTCCCGTCTTTTTCAGTTCTCTATGGCGTCCACTCCTTCCCCCCACTCTCCCCTCTGCGTTTTCTGATCTCCCTGCAGCACCTTGGTCTCCCAACTCACCTTCTCGCCTCTCTTCCTCCTGCCCGGAACACTTCAGTCTTCCCGAAGCCAATTGCTATGTCGCTGGACTCCCATGTAGTGGACTACGGTTCGAGTCCGGACCCGGCGACTTAAAATCACGCCGGGCGCGTGTGGGCCGGGCGCGTGTGCTTGCATGATCCCGAGAGGAGAATGGAGGAGAAGGGATTGCGGCGAGGCTATCCCCCTGGGGGGGGTGACCTAGCCCCCCTCCCTTCCAGGGCTTTCTCCTAAAAAAGAAAAATGGGCCCCTTTGGAAGACCCCAAGGTCCCTTGGAGGTCTGCCATTTCTAGAAGTGGTTTGATTCACTGAAAGACTTACGTAAGAATTTCAGTGTTGGCAACCAGCACTTAGCGTAATGGCTGCAGTTAGCGCAACCGCCGCCGCTGGGCACGTCGGTCACGTCCCCGACCCCGCGGCTTTAA